CCAGGCTGGGGATGTCCCGCCGCCCGGCCGGGAGGAGGCGCCCGCGGGACAGGCCCTCGCCTGGCAGGGGAAGCCCCGAGGCCCCGCGGAGCTGGCAGCGCTGAGGTACTTCCGCCAGCCACCCATTCCTGCGTTCTACAGGTGGGGCGCCCAAAGCCCAGAGGGCTGGAAGGCATAGGACAGGGCACTCCACCCCTTCCCCGTCCGCCCCCCCACTCCCAATTCCCAGATGAAACACGGACATGCACTTTTTTCTTTTTTTTACAAAATGTATTCATCTTCCTTGGAACTGAAAAATAAATCTATGTACAAAACAGGAAGAGATCAGGCTCCCCTCAACCACTCGCAAACCCCTGCAGATTTCCTCTGGGGTCCCCTGAGACACACTGGATGGACCTAGGGGAGGTTCCCAGAGGGTCAGAAGAGGTCTGCTCTGATCTGGGGCCAGTTTGGTCAGGAAGGGGGCGGAGCTCAGGATTCACACAGGCCTGGGGCGGAGTTTCAGTGTCCCAGACTCAAGGGATAGGGAGGGGAGGAAACTAGGATTTCCGAATTCTGGAAGTGCCTCTAAGGTACTTTAGGGTAGGGGGCTTGGATTCCCGAGGGAATTCTTAAGTGCAGAAACGTTCTCTTTAGGGGCCAAGCAGGGTTCTAGGTTCCCAGACTGGAGACAGGACCTGTGTGTCTAAGGTTTAGGGTGAAACCTCAGCCTCACAGGCTGGGAGCAACCCAAAACACATGGTTAGAGCCTCAGTTCTGAAGTGGGGCTTGAGTTTCTGTGGTTGGACCTTTAACGATTGGTGTCAGGGCCCAGGGTGAAGTTTCAATTGGCCAGGGGAGACTCTGGGATAGGACCTATATTCCAATGACAGGAGCTGGGGTAGAGATGGACTCTGGTGACCAGAGTCTCAGTTCTGAGTAGGGGTGGGGTCTGGAGGCCAGGCCTTAGGCCCCTTTAACCAGGGGCTGGAGTGGAGCCTCGATCAGGATTGAAGGCCGGCTCCCTTGGGCTGACAGGGAGTCCCAGGGTAGTTCAGAGGCCCTTGCGCTGCCGCTTGAGAAAGGAAAGAGTGTAGTCGCTGGGCGTAGACACCTTCTGCTTCTTCATCTGCACTTGCGATTGCGCGGTGAGCTGTAGCTTGATGGCACTTGAGTTGATCTTGGTGGCCACCAGTAGCTCCTTCATGCCCTTCATCTTCTCGCTCTGGAAAGTGAGCACCGGACCCTCTGGTGGTGGTGATGCGGCGGGCGGTGGCGCTGGTGCGGCACTGCTACCTTCAGGGCCACGGGCAGTGCTCGGGACCGTCCCAGGGGGCTTCCGGGGGGGTCCTGGCACCGCACCCTGGCCCGTGCCTGGGCCCTTGTCCAGTGCTGGCTTCTTGGGTGGTGGAGGCTCCTCGGGCTTGGACTCCCGCCGTGGGCCCCGCCGCCGGCCTTCCCGGGCTTCCTCTCCCCAGGGCTCCTCCGCCTCGGCCGCCTCCGACTCCCGGCTCACTATGCGCACCTTTTGCCGCACCTGGGCCGGATGGGGAGAGCAAGCTGAAGGAAACGTTGCAAGCCAGTGGCTGGATCCCCAGGACCCAGCCTCAGCTATCCTGTCATGAGGCCTCAGTCTCATATGCACCGAGAGGGGATGGTGAGCAGACTCCTTCGGGACCAAAGGCTCTGGCTCCTCTGTAGCTGCTGTCACCATCTGTCCTCCCCAGTTCCCTGACGCAGCTGCCCCTCACCTGTCCTTCGAAACGGCCTAGGGACTGCACAAGAAAGGTGGCCCAGCCCACATGCAGCACGGGTGTGGGACTGCCCTCTTCCCACTTGCAGATGCCATCGTAGAACCGCAGCAGATGGGCGAAGCACTCTGGGTCCTGGAGGGCAGACCCCTGGCTCTGGGGGCCCTGGGCAAGGGGGAAAGGAGGGCACAGGTCAGAGCCCCTTACTCACCCCGTATCAGAGGGCACAGGCCAGGTCCCTCATCTAGGCAAAGAGCCCTGGCTCCAGAAGAGGTGAGCACAGGGTGAGAAAATTCTTAGAACCTCCTTCCTTTTACAGAACCAGTACTTAGCCAGGACTTGGGAGAAGAGGGGGAACTATCCCTGACCTCCATGCCACCCCCTCAACTGAATGAGGAGCCCTGGCCTTGAAAGAGATGGGCTTCCACACCCCATTTACTTGAAGGCACAGGGTAGAAACCACTAATATACCCTCAGCTCCCTCAAACCCAGGCCCAGGACCTCGGCTACTGCTGAAGAGAACACAGCTCTCTGCACTGGGCCACCTTCCTCAGTCTACCTTCTACCAGTCCCCATGTCCTGTGACTGGGAGCCCTGATCAGGTAGAAAGGGGAACCCAGGTGGAGCTCCAGCCCTTCACCTGGGTCTGCTCCCCTGGCCGCTCCTCGCCGGCCTCCAGCAGGCTGGCTGCCTCCTTCAGCAGGTTGGGGATGACATCATTGGCTACCTCAAAGAACTCCTTGTAGATCTCCTCGTCCTCCCGGCAGTAGTTGTAGCTGTGAGAGTAGTAGGGCACAGTGGGGCCTTGGCCGTGGTGGGTACCCCCAGGGACCTGGTGGGGGATGGAGCCCAGGTTTCCTTTCCTGGGTCATCCAGGGACTGGGTGAGTGGTTGGGGCCCTCACTCCGAAATGATGGTGTGTCAGCCCAGAGCAAGAGTGAGGAGGAGGACATGGGGCTGGGAGGGGTGCAGGCTCCACTGATGGCTGATGGTGGATGGAAATGAGGAGGAGATGGGAGGGAGGGAGGGAAGGCATGAGGCCCTCATCAGGAGTCCCTACGTCCTGGGTGATGGTGGCCTTGACTGCCTAGGGACTAGAAGGGATGGGGCTTGGGACCCAGGCCTCACTCCTGGATGAGGGGGTTTGGGAATTGGGTGGAAGGGGAAGAAAGGGTGGGCTGAGGCCCTAGTGGGAGTCCTCACTCCTGGATGACAGTAGCTGTGTCGGCCCAGGCCTGCAGGGCTTCGCGCACATTGCGGTTGCGACAGTGGTAGCCGGCCAGGTACATGTAGGGGTAGATGTGCTCATCCCGGTAGTAGGTCTTGGCTGAGGCAATGCCCTGGGGATAGAGCAGAGGGGCCTCAGGGAGGCAGCCCCCAGCTGCACCAATGGTACAAGTGTCCCACTGGATCACACCCAGAAAGGACAACAGGCAAGATCCCAGAGAGAGCCATCTCCAATCCCACCTCCACTTTCTGCCATCCTCTCTACCAGGTACCCCTCCCCGGGTCTGCAGGACAGCTTGATGAGGCCTGGGCCAGAATGCAGGTGGTGGGGACCCCCACAGACAAGGCCTAGGGAAGGGCATGTCCCTTTCCCGGGCTTTGCCACACACTCCTACATAAATACCAAAGTCTTCCAAGCACAACCCAATATCCTTTCTACCCCCCCTCACCCCACCAAGTTAACACCCCCTCCCCAATATTCCCACATTTGACCTCTGTTATGCTCCAGGAAGGACAATGAGAGGCAAGAGAAAAGGGCTAAGGGGACACACCCAGGCCCTGCCACTCCCAGAGCACCTCCCAGCCCTGACTGCACTAAATATGCACATGGTAAATACAAAGTGGGTGACAGCCTGCAGCACACAGAGTTCTTCTCTCACCCGCCCCTCCCAGTCCCCAGGTAGAAGGGCACCCCAACCACTGCTGGGTCTCCCTTCTGTACCCTCTGGAGACAGCCCCACCTTGTGGTAGAGGGTGAGTGGGTCTGGCCGGCCAGGGGTGGGCTCCAGTTCCTCCAAATCTGCCAAGTTCCCCAGTGCCATGGGGTACCTGGGAAAGGGTCATGAGTCCAGGCTGCAACCCGGGCCCCACCCCCGAGGCCCAGCCTCGCCACGTCCCCCTACTGACCTTTCCAGATGTCCCAGGTCATAGAGCAGCCAGAGCAGCTTCTAGGGGCCAAAAGAGAGGGTATGAGCTGCGGGGAGGGGTGGGGAGTCCTTGGTCTACCAGGCAGAGGTGGGGCCCAGCACCAGCAGAGACCTCCCACCAGGTGGGAAGGGCCCGAATCCAGGAACTAGCCCCTTATTGGAGTCACAGCCCTTTCACGTCTCAATTCCACTCTCCCAAGAGGCCTGGAAAAGGCCAGGCCAGGAATTGTTAACCATGTCACAGAAGGGGATGTTGGAGCGCAGGGAGGGAAAGTACCTCCCTGCCCAGGGTACCACGGGTACACCTCACCTGCTGCAGCTGCAGTAGCTCCAGGGAGTCGGTGTGCAGGTCAATGGAAGGGTTGATGGCGCACACCATAAATGCCACCTCCATCTTTCGGTCACAGCGCATGTACGATCCTTTCAAGTACAGCCAGCTCTTGGGAGAGGACAAGACCAGATGTCTCATGATGGCCCACTTGTGCCTGCTCCAGGGAATGACAGCCAGGAAAGGGGCCCTTCTTCATTCCCTTCCTGACATATATAGGTGGTGATGGGAAGAGGGGAGTGTGGCCCAGGAAAGCATGGCCCCTTGGGTGGCTTGGGCTAGGAGTGTGAAGGGGGCAGGGGAGGAGGCAATACCCGTTCAGCCACACCCGCGTTGACTGTCTGGCCTCTGCGGTCCTCATTTCCCTTGCCGTGCCAGGTGACCTCAGCTGTCTGTTCTCCATTGGGACCAAACACTACCCAGGCATGGTCCTCAGACAGAGCCAGATGGACATCCCGGAGACCCAGAGCCTGGCAGGCCCCCACTACAGCAAAGGCCACACCAGAGCTGTCCAGTTTGGTGCCTGTGGAAGGGGGAGGTAATGAAATAGGGTCCTCTGGGCTGTGGCCTGGGGGAAGGGGGTTAGGTAGTGACAGGCCATGTTCCCTCCCACCCTCACCTCCAAGCCTGTACCCGCACCTCAGACACTCCTCCATCACCCTTATATCCCTTT